AGAGAAGGGCGAGTTATCTTATGATAGCGCAGTATAGTCACTTTTCCCAAGAGGTGCATTGAAATACACTTGGTCGATATTAGAGAAAAAGGGTCAACCAAGATCAACGCGCGCAGCACGATTTTGGAAGGATTAGTGAAAGTTATATTTTTGAATCCGATACCGTGCAACCCCTCCCATCTAGGCGGTCGACAGTTTGCGGTCAGCAATTTTTTTCTCTTGAACCCTTCAAGCCACAAAACCACCGTCAAATTTATTTTTATTACTTTTCGACAGGAGATTTTTTACACTGCTGGCCAGATTTGTGTTTACCGCTTCTCTGACAATGTCAGCAAACTGGCATTAATTAAATTTATCATTATTATTAAAATCCCCAGAAATTCTACGTTTTGTGCATTACTCTTCTTTAACTTTATCCAGAGGGATTCATGGTCAGGGGAGAGGGTGACGGCTGCTTGAACGGCCGAAATTGCTGCCCTTGCATGGACGATTACCCCACCACCCTGGCTGTCTTGTATAGTTTGGTCGCATCTCTCTTGCCCCCTCCTCGGGTGGACTCGAAGCTGACTGTGGCCGATCGCATCTGGGTTCCTATCGCCTCACCACTTTGCCGTGAATGGCCTCATCCGGCATATGAATTCTGCCTTGATTATGTCCGTTTCGAACCTTTTACCCAATGCCACATGCAGGCCAGTCCTGCCTGACCCGCCTACTTACCCCTTCATTAAATCCACTATATACTGCTATATACAGGCCGGTCCTGCCTGCTTTTGACACATTCATGAGCGATAGTTTTTTCTCCTATAGTGTTAATGCAGTCATACTCATTTTGTTTATATGTTAGGAGTTCTTTTCACAGTTCGCTTATCATTATTCGTAACATACTACTTATTCAATAACTATGAATTAAATATTGTATAGATTCTGAATACCTGTTCTGAAATTTATGGAAAGGTTATTCTTTCTTTGCTATGAACGGACCTCCACGGGCCTTGAATAAAAATTATTATTACTATTAAGAGAATCTCGACCGACTCGGCAGCTTAGCTTGTCTTGGCCCTTAACTTCTGATGTTGTTAGGCGTGTTGCCCTAGGACTCCCCACCAGAAAGAGCAGTGAGGAGGACGATTCTCTCTGACAACTCCTTAATTGGCAGTCCTTTCCAAACGATGGTAAGCCGAAGAACCTCGGTGCTCTAATGACCTTCTCGCTTAAACCATCATTCCACTGTTCAAAGACGGCTAAACTCGCAACGCAGTTGTCCTTTGCATTCAGACGAGGATTGGTACATACTGATAGGAAATAGCTTGGAAACATCTACTGGGCACTCGTTCGGTCTCGCTTGAAGAATGCCATCCAGGCCTGGCGTCCGTAGTTTAAGAAGGATTATCAGCGGTTGGGGCAAATTAAGACGAAGGCTTTGAATGTTGCCAAGAATCTTGGTTCTCAGCCGTATGAAACCAGACTGGCTGAGTCTAATTTGTTTCCCCTCAATAACAGGCAACTGCGCGGCGACCCCACGCAAACCTACCGGATTGTCAGGGGGCGTGATGGTGTCCTGGACTTTGATGACTTTTTCGATTTGTCTGGGACGGACTGTCTGCATGATTATCCCTTTGAACTGAGGAGAAATTTGGTCCGTAGGGACGTTTGACTAAAAGCCTTCTTGTAGAGGGTCGTTTGGCATGGAACGGACTCCCTGATACCAAAAGTGTTGAAACGTTTAGATCCAAACTAGAAACACAGTGGCGGAGATACTACTTCACATATCATTAAGATTGTGTCAAGGGTGGTGGCTGGCGATGACCATCAAACCCAACTAATTATTGACGGCCACGACATAAGTGTGCTTGAAGTTATTAAGGACCTGGGTGTATCATACTCCAAGAGTCTTAGTCTTTCGGAGCACTGCGCCCTGACAGTCTCCAAAGCATTCAGAATGACCGGCCTCATCCTCCGAAATTTTAAAACAAACGATAATAGAATGGGCATTTATGCAATGCACGTTAGACGCAGCCTGGAATACTGTTCGTTTTCATTTAGCCCCATAGGTGCTGCTGAGCGGAAGAAAATAGAATGCGTCCAACATTTTCAGTCAAGAGTGTTTTAACCTCGGGACGCCCTAAATTGACCTGTGGTAGCCCTTTGTCATATTTTTGCTTTTAAGTTAGTGTTTATGAAACGGTTGCGCACGAACTTAAACCGGCGTGAGTTTCGGTTTAAAAAACTGACTTTTCACCCATTAACCTTGTTTTACTCTGGGAGGCGTTGAAAGTCATGTCCGTTCCGGCGCAGCCGTTTTGCTTGCCTTTTCCCGACTTAATCTTAGCGCGGGATTGCGTTATTGATTAACTTGACTGCTAAAGTGTTGACCCCTGAACGAGAACACGCGTCGCATTTTCACGCGTTTTCACTCGCCAACAATAGCCAGCAAACCGTGGTGCAGTGCCGTATTGGTTCTTTTTTTGCGGGCACTTTTGTTGAAATCTTGAAGAAGCCACAGTTATAACGGACGCTCGTGCTAGTGAAGGCGATTCTATTAGCTCATTAACGTTGTCTTTACCAGACTTCTGGACGAATGCACATGAACTATGCCTTCTTCTATAATAAAGACAATAATTTTTATTCAAGACCCGTGGAGGTCCGTTCATAGCAAAGTAAGAATAACCTTTCCATAAATTTCAGAACAGGTATTCAGAATCTATACAATATTTAATTCATAGTTATTGAATAAGTAGTATGTTACGAATAATGATAAGCGAACTGTGAAAAGAACTCCTAACATATAAACAAAATGAGTATGACTGCATTAACACTATAGGAGAAAAAACTATCGCTCATGAATGTGTCAAAAGCAGGCAGGACCGGCCTGTATATAGCAGTATATAATGGATTTAATGAAGGGGTAAGTAGGCGGGTCAGGCAGGACTGGCCTGCATGTGGCATTGGGTAAAAGGTTCGAAACGGACATAATCAAGGCAGAATTCATATGCCGGATGAGGCCATTCACGGCAAAGTGGTGAGGCGATAGGAATCCAGATGCGATCGGTCACAGTCCGCTTCGAAAGCGGTTGATGAATTACCACACATTTGTCCTTTGTTTATTGTCGTTTCGAAGTTGGCGCATCCGACGGCGAAGTGATTCATGCTCTTTTGCATGTCCTCTTCGGTTTTGCGTGAGCAGTCGTCCGCAAGATCATGTCCTGAACTGTGGTTGTGGATGGCCGTTTAGATGTCTGCATGCGCCTCATGCTGAAATGACCGATTACGCCTTTTATTACGAAAGACGTCCACAAGTGGAGAAAATGAGATTAAAGGGAATGGGAACGTTGACGTATCCCTGCCCAACCCCATTAGACAGCGAATGCCTCGGATAATGTCCCATTGTTTTTGGCGCACGCCATCATTTCATCGTGGAGCTGGTGAACCACGTGTGTAAATTACTCAGGACAGCCGAATTTCGGCATGATTTTCCGAAGTCATTCGCGATTAACTGTGTCGAAGGCTCTCGTCAGATCTACGAGGGTAGTGTAGAGGTGGGTTTGCATCTCCCGACACTTCACTTGTAGCCGACGAACGGCGAGGATCATGTCAGTGGTTCAGCGGTATTGACGGAGCACACACTGACTGGTAGAGAATAGCCCCCACTCTAGGTGCGCATTGTGACAATTGAGAAGAAGGCGAGGGAAGAACTCTCCGGCGATGTTGAGCAGCGGGATGTATCTGAGACTATTACAGAATTGTCGGTTCCCTTTCCACTTGTAGACATGGACGATAGTCTCGTCCTTGGAATCCTGAGGGATCTGTCCTTAGCGCCACATCTCACGGAAAAGTACTATGGAGTGATCCACCAGTCGGTGACCGTCATACATCTAGATTTCAGCTCGAATCGCATCGGAGCCTGGCATTTTCCCGTTTGGGAGTTGTTGCACGGCACGGATGGCTTAAAGAAAGAAGGGTGGGAGATCCAGGTCGATGTTGATTTGCACTTGAGGGAGCCGATCGATGACGGTGTAAGAGATCATAAAGAACACTTCCGAAGTGTTCGGCCCAGCGCTTCAGAATCTGTGACTTCTCCGTCAGAAGCGTTGTTTCATCAGAGCTGAGAATCGACCACGTTGTTTTCGTTGGGGAGCCGTAGATCGTCTTAATCACAGAGACGAAGTTCTTTCATTCATTGCGGTCTGCATACCCCTGGATTTCCTCGGTCTTGCGGGCCTTGCAGACGTCCTGCACTTCTCACAACAGCTTCTGTACAAGGTGGCGATATCGGTAGAAAGCCAATTTGCTTACGTCGGTCTGGCGATGGATGAAGACCTTCTGCAACCTGTTCTTCCCATCTAGTCGGTCGCCGGAGGCTGTGTAGCCTTTGTCGAACCGGTCCTGGTATTGGCGAGGTGCGCGGCCGAGGATGCCCATGCCGGTAGACTGAACGGCGTCACGTAGTCGAGACCATCGATTTTCCACGAAAGCATTTTTATCTGGAACTTGTTGGGCTGCTCGTCACTGGGTGATTTGATTGCTGACAGTAAGGTTGTGAGGAGATAAATTCAACTTACTGATGGTCGCTCACCTTATTTCCTGCTGCGACGTTGCCTTCGGATCTTCATCTCAGAGAAAACGAGACGGAGATCTGTCCAGTCGTCGACGACACTGATCGCCTTGGTGGCCAAAACCTCTTGCCGATCTCCCCCCCGGACGAGAACATAGTCCAGCAGCTGCCGGCGTTACGATGGGGGTTGTGTTCAGTTAGTTTTCTCCCACGTAGGAAGGCGGGAGAAAATGTTGGTTAGTAGGAGGTGATGTTCCGCGTGGGTTTGTTGAATGAGATCGTTATCGTTGCAGCTGCCATGACCATGCGGACCGATCCCTCCCTCCCAGGCATTATGTTTTGCCCCGACGCGGACGTCGAAGTAACCAAGGGCAACCCAATATTGTTCGCCTCCGGGCCAGACGCCAGTAGGGCATGCAGGTCCTCGTAGAATTTGTTCTTTGCCTCGTCAGTTCTGATCATTTGGGGTGCGGGATTTGGCGTTGATGTTGGTGGCGAATTTGGATACCCGAAGGGGCAGACGCAGGCTCAGCGGTCGGTCGCTGATGTCCTGAGGCAGACTGCGCAGTCGTCCCACGATGCCGTTCCGGATGATAAAGGTGCCACATGCATCGCGTTGCTCTGCTTTTCGGCGTCCGCTCCAGAAGAAGGTGTAGCCCACACCCATCTCCTCCAGCTGGCCGTGTTCGGGAACCGAGTTTCGCTGAGAGCAACGATGTCCACATTGCGCTACGCCAGCTCTCGCGTGAGTAGCACCGTCCTCCGTTCCGGTCGATTGCTTCTCGGATTGTCTAAAATGACACGAAAATTCCAAGCTGCCATGGTGGGCGGACACACGCTAGCAACTTGTGAGATGGGGTGAAGGAGGACGAAGGTATTTGCTGTTTATTG